TAGGGGCGAGGGTTGCAGTAAGGTTTTAAACCTACCTACTTCATAGATGCATTCAGTGGATGTTATGATTCAGTACATTTACAAATAATTCGCACGATGTAGACTTGACATTATTGCAAGTGACCATTTGCTTATAAAAATGTAACCTGACGTGCTGGGTAATATCGGATTCCATATATACGATCAGTGGGGTTTATTCTATAAGGTAAGGACATCGCCATTTCTGTTATAGAAAATAAATAGTCTTTGTTGCACACTTATCAGCGCCTGTCTGTTTCCCCAGTTGACATAACGTTATCCTGTGATACTTTCTGATTTAATGAGTATACATCCAATATTCTTACTTAGGTCATTGAAGCAGCCGTCTCGACGAAGTTGATTCTTGTACCTACTTATACCAGTTCTTTCAGAGGGCTTGCTTCATAAATACTCACCAATGCAAGTCACTTACTTCTTGATGCACTTGGAATGTATATTAGCTTCATATAGTAGGCAAAATTCCAGATTAATTTATGCCCATCATCATCTCATCCGTTAATCTATATTTGGCGCGTTTTTGCGCGACCAGACCTCAGTAGTTCAGGAATTCATTAACAAGTTTCCCATTTTATCTGAATTACTGTCTATGACATTTAGAAACCAACGCTTGCTTTCATGTTTATTCAGTTTCATACCCCTTAACGTAGCCCGCAGAGGTGGGTGTGACAAAATCCATATCTACTCTACTGGGTGCATCATGCTCTCACTTGAATCGAATTGAATTTAAAACGTCTCTACTATTACAGCCATTATAGTTAGCGCTTAAAGAGTTGGGCTATTTGTTTGTCTACCAGCGATTCATGCCTTTAAATACCAACCCTAACCTTCTGTAGATCGGTGACATTTGAGAACTAGCTGTGGTATTGTGTAGATGTCAGTTTGATTCTGTGGGCTTTTCGTTGCATCCACGGCCGCGGCCTGCAAGTAGGAGGTCGACATTCTATGGGCATACCTGCTGACGGTGTATCTTTCCAAGTGTAAGACGCACCACTTTAGATTACCGGTATTGGCGTCCAAGTATGTGCCCCACAAGCATTATATGGCTGATGAGACATATCAGGTAGTTGTTGAACAGTGGTTTTCCAAGTTAAGCTGCTGTAAGTAGCAGGATCAGTTTCCTTTGAACCGATTATTTTGCGATGCCCACTGAATAGGTCTTTCAACCATAAAATGACCCGAAAAATTTTGTTGAGATGATCCGAGTATTTGTAGATGCCAAAGCTCAGTCAGAATGAATGGGATACCTATTTCCGGCAAAAATGGCCCCTTTCTACTTCAACTCACTATCATGGTTACCGAGCAATAAGCCGATGAATACTCGTGAGCAAAAATTGCGATATTATTTGTCGGGAATACAATATAAAAAAACGAATATGAACGTAGAAACAAAAGAAAGCCGCACGCGAAACCTGCGGAAAGTTTCAATAAAGACTGGGATACTAAGGGCGAGTTTTGAAGCTTAAACGCTAAACCGAATAAACTAACAGCAATAAACTATTGGGTCGTCAGGCAGTTTTTAATATTTATTATTATGAGAGAACATTTCCTGGTAGGGGTGTTCGATCGGCGCAGAGAGATAGGTGACATTGCAGCTGGAGCCTCTGTATTTCCAAATTTGTTCGGATTGGGTAGTAGCAAGCTAGTTAGGAGTTCTCCAGAACCTGGCATACTGCAGTTTGAATAAACAGCAGATACCGTCCGCGGTACAGTTCGAGGGCCTTAAACTCCAGTTGCTAAGATAAGTGGAAGAAGTCCCAAACATCCACGTTCGCTCCTAATCTTGGGGGTTACGAAGGAAGTGAGATCGTTCCTCAGCACGACTAAGTTCCTGTGATGGGCTCCACACAAAAGTGCGCAGAGGTTCTAAGCACATACAAAAAGAATCTTGAAGTCACTTGAATTATTGACATAGTTGTCAGCTATGCTATTGCTAGTTCTTACTACCTCGTGCTACCGTGGAAAGTTAAGTCGTATGATACAAGTATCGAAAAGTCACAATTCATCCCTGGTCATTTACATGCCGAGCGAGTACACGTATACGCTACATCATAGTTGTCTAAGCTATGCATAAACAGCTCCTTAGATGAGCATTCCTATGCCAACTTAAAGTGTAGCGAATTAGCGTCTGGTTCATTACCTGCTAATAATCTTTCTTCGACATGTTATTAGCTGACTACCATTGACCACACAACATCATTAGCAAGCGCATAGAAAAGACGACATCCCAGAAACGAAACGCGCTATACATCATCTGAACTGGACCGGACGATGAATTCCGAGTCCACAAGCGTTATGAAGGCTCTAATCAGTTACAGCAGCTCTGGTCGTACGATCAGTCTTGGCAATCCCTACCGCTTTGTGATATTTGTGAACTTGCAGCACATGATCAGAACCGGAGAGCAGACAAACCATTTCGGTCTACTGCTGCTTGGGTATTTTCAGACACGTGTTCGGTACCAACTATTCGCTCAAAAAACTATGTTTAGGCGGAAGTTTAGCATCCAATCGGAATAAATCCTGGCGGTGCATACAATGTTTCCTACAGAAAACAAGTACATGATAGATGTGCGACTGTTAACGACGTTAAACGAAGGCACGAGCATTCCTGTTACAATGTACCCGATAAAATTCACTCGTCATAAATCACCGACAAGAAAAGTGGCTCGGTTAACTTTTGTTAACATTTTTCAAAAAATGGACCGAAACTTTCGGCGTGACACAGTTTCAAAACCAACTCGCAAGCATACACCTCCTACCCTGGGCGCATATATAAGTCTCCTACATCCGGTTCAATTTGATACGCAAAATGAGGGTAAGTGGCTCAGCTAAAATTGGTAGAATGTTCATGACATCAGGGTTTTACGTAAAATGTCAAGAACTGGTTTGTTCGCTACCCAATTGAGCTAACTTGGAATCAGTTACTTTCTGATTTATTTATTTCTGATTTTCATT